GATATACCCCATCTGTAATGGTGTACATGATGGTTACTTTGTTGGTACCCCACTTTACATGATACAAATACACAGTTGTGTGTGCTAGGATATACCCCATCTGTTATGGTGTACATGATGGTTACTTTATTGGTACCCCACTTTACATGATACAAATACACAGTTGTGTGTGCTAGGATATACCCCATCTGTAATGGTGTACATGATGGTTACTTTATTGGTACCCCACTTTATAGAGATAGAAACAAATTGTCACCTTCTCCGTGGCCCAAGGTCAAATAAACATGGTTCGCCCATGAAGTCAAATATTTTTACATCAAGTAGCATTAGTAACTTCATTGTCTGTAGCTGCACCATCATGTCCGGTCACTTTGTTAATGTCTGATGTTTCTCATCCTGTGTTGGATCTTGAGGTCACAACCATAGAGATATTATTTTTTTAAGTTTAATGTAGCATGGTGAATGACATTCTAAAATAAATTTCTCATTTTAAAATGTAATATATGTTTCTTGTGTGTAAAAGTCACATGTAATATCTCCACCGTTGTGACAAAGGTTACCTTGTTATTGAAGTGGTTCCTTGAAATGCACCAATCTAAATATTGTTGCTGTCTCAATATCATGTTGGTGCATACGCACTGATTATTTCTGTGTAATTAAATTGTGCATGTCTACAGACTTTATATCCACATAATATTGTATAAACACCAAGAATTGCTGAAACAGACCAATGATTAGACATTAAGTAACCATGTTATGTGGATATACACCAAGCATTGCTGAAACAGACCAATGATTAGACATTAAGTAACCATGTTATGTACATATACACCAAACATTGCTGAAACAGACCAATGATTAAACATTAAGTTACTATATTATGTGGATATACACCAAGCATTGCTGAAACAGACCAATGATTAGACTTTAAGTAACAATATTATGTGGATTTACACTAAGCATTCCTTAAACAGACCAATAATTAGACATTAAGTAACCATGTTATGTGGATATACACCAGGCATTGCTGAAACAGAAAATTATGATTACACATTAATAAATTATATTATGTACATATACACCAAGCATTGCTGAAACAGTCCAATGATTAGACATTAAGTAACCATGTTATGTGGATATACACCAGGCATTGCTGAAACAGACCAATGATTAGACATTAAATAACTGTATTATGTGGATATACACCAAGCATTGCTGAAACAGACCAATGATTAGACATTAAGAAACCATGTTATGAGGATAAACACCAGGCATTGCTGAAACAGACCAATGATTAGACATTAAATAACTGTATTATGTGGATATACACCAAGCATTGCTGAAACAGACCAATGATTACACATTAAGTAACCATGTTATGTGGATATACACCAATCATTGCTGAAACAGACCAATGATTAGACATTAAGTAACCATGTTATGAGGATTAACACCAGGCATTGCTGAAACAGACCAATGATTAGACATTAAATAACTGTATTATGTGGATATACACCAAGCATTGCTGAAACAGACCAATGATTAGACATTAAGTAACCATGTTATGAGGATAAACACCAGGCATTGCTGAAACAGACCAATGATTAGACATTAAATAACTGTATTATGTGGATATACACCAAGCATTGCTGAAACAGACCAATGATTAGACATTAAGTAACCATGTTATGAGGATAAACACCAGGCATTGCTGAAACAGACCAATGATTAGATATTAAGTAACCATGTTATGTGGATATACACCAAGCATTGCTGAAACAGACCAATGATTAGACATTAAGTAACCATGTTATGTCGATATACACCAAGCATTGCTGAAACAGACCAATGATTAGACATTAAGTAACCATGTTATGTGGATATACACCAATCATTGCTGAAACAGACCAATCATTAGACATCAATAAATTATATTATGTAGATATACACCAAGCATTGCTGAAACAGACCAATGAATATTCATTAAGTAGCTATATTATGTGGATATACACCAAGAACCGTTGAAAAAGACGAATTATTAGACATTAAGTAACCATGTTATGTGAATATACACCAAGCATTGCAGAAACATACCAATGATTATATATTAAGCAACTATATTAAGTGGATATACACCAAGCATTGCTGAAACAGACCAATGATTAGACATCAGTAAATTATATTATGTAGAAATACACCAAGCATTGCTGAAACAGACCAATGATTATTCATTAAGTAACTATATTATGTGGATATACACCAAGCACCGTTGAAACAGACCAATGATTAGACATTAAGTAACCATGTTATGTGGATATACACCAAGCATTGCTGAAACATACCAATGATTATATGTTAAGCAACCATGTTATGTGGATATACACCAAGCATTGCTGAAACAGACGAATGATTAGACATTAAGTAACTATATTATGTGGATATACACCAAGAACTACTCAAACAGACCAATGATTAAACATTAAGTAACTATATTATGTCGGTATACACCAAGAACTGCCGAAACAGACGAATGATTAGACATTAAGCAACCATGTTATGTAGATATACACCAATCATTGCTGAAACAGACCAATGATCAAACATTAAGTAACTCTATTATGTGGATATACACAAAGCATTGCTGAAACAAACCAATCATTAGACATTAGGTAACCATGTAATGTGGATATACACCAAGTATTGCTGAAACAGACCAATGATTAGACATTAAGTAACCATGCTATGTGGATATGCACCAAGCATTGCTGAAACATACAAATGATTATGTATTAAGCAATTATATTTTGTGGATATACACCAAGCATTACTGAAACATACCAATGATTATATATTAAGCAACTATATTATGTGGATAAACACCAATCATTGCTGAAACAGACCAATGATTAGACATTAATATACTATATTATGTGGATATACACCAAGAACTACTCAAACAGACCAATGAATAAACATTAAGTAACTATATTATGTGGATATACACCAAGAACTGCCGAAACAGACCAATGATTAGACATTAAGTAACCATGTTATGTGGATATACACCAATCATTGCTGAAACATACCAATGATTATATATTAAGCAATTATATTATGTGGATATACACCAAGCATTGCTTAAACATACCAATGATTATATATTAAGCAACTATATTATGTGGATATACACCAAGCACCGTTGAAACAGACCAATGATTAGACATTAAGTAACCATGTTATGTGGATATACACCAAGCATTGTTGAAACAGACCAATGATTAGACATTAAGTAACCATGTTATGTGGATATACACCAAGAACTGCCGAAACAGACCAATGATTAGACATTAAGCAACTATATTATGTGGATATACACCAATCATTGCTGAAACAGACCAATGATTAGACATTAATAAACTATATTATGTGGATATACATCAAGAACTACTCAAACAGACCAATGATTAAACATTTAGTAACTATATTATGTGGATATACACCAAGAACTGCTGAAACAGACCTATGATTAGACATTAAGTAACCATGTTATGTGGATATACACCAAGCATTGCTGAAACAGACGAATGATTAGACTTTAAGTAACCATGTTATGTGGATATACACCGATCATTGCTGAAACAAACCAATCATTAGACATTAAGTTACCATGTTATGTGGATATACACCAATCATTGCTGAAACAAACCAATCATTAGACATCAGTAAATTATATTATGTAGATATACACCAAGCATTGCTGAAACAGACCAATGATTATTCATTAAGTAACTATATTATATGGATATACACCAAGCACTGTTGAAACGGACGAATGATTAGACATTAAGTAACCATGTTACGTGGATATACACCAAGCATTACTGAAACATACCAATGATTATATATTAAGCAACTATATTAAGTGGATATACACCAAGCATTGCTGAAACAGACCAATGATTAGACATTAAGTAACCATGTTATGTGGATATACACCAAGGATTGCTGAAACAGACCAATGATTAAACATTAAGTAACTATGTTATGTGGATATACACCAATCATTGCTGAAACAGACCAATGATTAGACATTAAGTAACTATATTATGTCGATATACACCAAGCACTGCTGAAACAGACCAATGATTAGACGTTCTTTTGCAGACTGATTCCCAATTAACGTTTTGATTAGTATCAACTTGTGGTTAAAAACATAAGAGATATTGTCGGCTCATCCATGATGGAATTTAATATATTAGAAGGTTATCTGTCAAAATATCTATATTAAAATCTCATGGTTTACGGTGTATGAAACCAACAATCTCTATGGTGTTTAGAGTAGAGAAATTTGTTAGCCACCCTTCTACGGAGCAAGTCTTTGTGCTCAGAAATTGTCAACTGCTTGAATGGGCCAAATATTACAAGCATGACACGACTTGTCTTTTGGTAAGGTGACACCACATACGGCTTGTGTTATGTTAAGGTGACACCATATACGACTTGTGTTATGTTAAGGTGACACCATATACGACTTGTGTTATGTTAAGGTGACACCATGTACGACTTGTCTTACGTTCAGGTGACACCACTTACGACTTGTCTTATGTTCAGGTGACACCACATACGACTTGTGTTATGTTAAGGTGATTACTGTTGGTATGGTGATAACCTGCACCTTATACTGCTCACATAGTTATACCCTGGGGTCACCCAGTGCTTATGTTATTGATTGATTCAAAGACGTTGCCTTGTTTCTACAGCTTATTGCTGGATTCGTTGAAGCTTGTACCCTCAGTTCCATGTTTAATCCACGCCGGCTCCATCCTCTGTTATGTTGCACTCATGGGTCAGTCTTGATAACAGGACAGACGACGTCAGTTCTTAGAACAATATATTCTGTGTTGACAACCATTAGACAACTCAACCATAGCCGGGTCGATCCCGGGAGAACCAACTGAGTTTAAAAGATGTCAAAGCAATGTTATTGATTTCCAGGGCCACGGATTGACAAGCTACTTTTGCAGTACTCGGAGCATTGAGTTACCTTTAGAGAGGACGTTTTATAATTGGGCAATTTATTCAGAGTTTCAGTTAAACAAACACCAATTTTCCTAGGTAATTATATTCTTTATTGCAGTAGTTTAATGGGGACACGCCTAGTCTATACGAATACATAGAAATAATGTCCATAAGTCGGAGACTCTGTATGCCTCGCATGCTGCTGTATTTGTGTATGCTCTAACACACCACGTCAAACAGCCAAGTGAATGAATCCCCTGTAAGGAAATGTGAGTGATCAAACACCAGCTACCCGGCGTGTACCCGACACTTGACATAGGTGCTAGGGCACGATGACAATGACGTCAATGCATACACATCCAGGTGGATCTCAGCAGCAACACCCATTTTGACCGGCCGAACTGTCCGGCTCCATCTACTTCAGACGGATTACACGTCACCCGCTGCTGACACTGGATATGGTCGGTCATCTCTAACAATGAAGGTAGGATATACGGCTCTATATCGGATATGATCACCATCACTCATAATGTAGGTAGTATATGTATAGGACATGATCACCATCACTCATAATGTAGGTAGTATATATATAGGTCATGATCATCATCACTGATAATGTAGGTAGTATATATATAGGACATGATCGTCATCACTCATAATGTAGGTAGTACATATATAGGACATGATCATCATCACTCATAATGCAGGTAGTATATATATCGGATATGATCACCATCACTGATAATGTAGGTAGTATATATATAGGTCATGATCATCATCACTCGTAATGAAGGTAGTATATATATAGGTCATGATCATCATCACTCATAATGTAGGTAGTATATATATAGGATATGATCATCATCACTCATAACGTAGGTAGTATATATATAGGATATGATCATCATCACTCATAACGTAGGTAGTATATATATAGGACATGATCATCATCACTCATAACGTAGGTACTATATATATAGGACATGATCATCATCACTCATAATGTAGGTAGTATATATATAGGACATGATCATCATCACTCATAACGTAGGTACTATATATATAGGACATGATCATCATCACTCATAACGTAGGTACTATATATATATGACATGATCGTCATCACTCATAATGTAGGTAGTATATATATAGGACATGATCGTCATCACTCATAATGTAGGTAGTATATATATAGGACATGATCGTCATCACTCATAATGTAGGTAGTATATATATAGGACATGATCATCATCACTCATAATGTAGGTAGTATATATATACTCATAATGTAGGTAGTATATATATATAGGACATGATCGTCATCACTCATAATGTAGGTAGTATATATATAGAACATGATCGTCATCACTGATTATGTAGGTAGTATATATATAGGACATGATCAACATCACTCATAATGTAGGTAGTATATATATATAGTATATGATCATCATCACTCATAATGTAGGTAGTATATATATAGGACATGATCAACATCACTCATAATGTAGGTAGTATATATATAGGACATGATCGTCATCACTGATTATGTAGGTAGTATATATATAGGACATGATCGTCATCACTCATAATGTAGGTAGTATATATATATAGGACATGAACGTCATCACTCATAATGTAGGTACTATATATATAGAACATGATCATCATCACTCATAATGTAGGTAGTATATATATAGAACATGATCGTCATCACTCATAATGTAGGTACTATATATATAGGACATGATCGTCATCACTGATAATGTAGGTAGTATATATATAGGACTTGATCGTCATGACTGATTATGTAGGTAGCATATATATAGGACATGATCAACATCACTCATGATGTAGGTAGTATATATATCGAACATGATCATCATCACTCATAATGTAGGTAGTATGTATATCGGACATGATCATCATCACCTAACAAAATGTATAATACTGTGGAGGTATGATGTAGACCATGATATCTTCACCTAACAAAATGTATAATACTGTGGAGGTATGATGTAGACCATGATATCTTCACCTAACAAAATTTACAATAATGTGGAGGTATGATATAGACCATGACATCTTCCCTTTAAACTATGTATAATACTGTGGAGGTATGATAGAGACCATGATATCTTCCCATAACACTATGTATAACACTATGGAGGCATGATATACACCATGATATCATCACCTAGCACTATGTATAACACTGTGGAGGTATGATATAGTCCACGATATCTTCAACTAACACTATGTATTACACTGTGGAGGTATGATATAGTCCACGATATCTTCAACTAACACTATGTATAACACTGTGGAGGTATGATATAGTCCACGATATCTTCAACTAACACTATGTATTACACTGTGGAGGTATGATATAGTCCACGATATCTTCAACTAACACTATGTATTACACTGTGGAGGTATGATATAGTCCACGATATCTTCAACTAACACTATGTATAACACTGTGGAGGTATGATATAGTCCACGATATCTTCAACTAACACTATGTATAACACTGTGGAGGTATGATATAGTCCACGATATCTTCAACTAACACTATGTATTACACTGTGGAGGTATGATATAGTCCACGATATCTTCAACTAACACTATGTATAACACTGTGGAGGTATGATATAGTCCACGATATCTTCAACTAACACTATGTATAACACTGTGGAGGTATGATATAGTCCACGATATCTTCAACTAACACTATGTATTACACTGTGGAGGTATGATATAGTCCACGATATCTTCAACTAACACTATGTATAACACTGTGGAGGTATGATATAGTCCACGATATCTTCAACTAACACTATGTATAACACTGTGGAGGTATGATAGAGGCCACGATATCTTCCCCTAACACTATCTTTAACACTGTGGAGGTATGAACTAGACCACGACATCTTCCCCTAACATTGTGTGTAACACTGTGGGGTATAATATAGAACAAGTTGGAAAAAAGTACAAATTGAAAAGGGCATATTATGTAACAAGTTGTATTCACCTGGAACAGAGGGCATATTCATGTAACAAGTTGTATTCAGCTGGAACACAGGGCATATTCATGTAACAACTTGTATTCAGCTGGAACACAGGCCATATTCATGTAACAAGTTATATTCAGCTGGAACACAGGCCATATTCATGTTACAACTTGTATTCAGCTGGAACACAGACCACATTCATGTAACAAGTTGTATTCAGCTGGAACACAGGGCATATTCATGTAACAAGTTGTATTCAGCTGGAACACAGGCCATATTCATGTAACATTTTGTATTCAGCTGGAACACAGGCCATATTCATGTAACAAGTTGTATTCAGCTGGAAAACAGGCCATATTCACGTAACAAGTTGTATTCAGCTGGAACACAGGCCATATTCATGTAACAAGTTGTATTCAGCTGGAACACAGGCCATATTCATGTAACAAGTTGTATTCAGCTGGAACACAGGCCATATTCATGTAACAAGTTGTATTCAGCTGGAAAACAGGCCATATTCGTGTAACAAGTTGTATTCAGCTGGAACACAGGCCATATTCATGTAACAAGTTGTATTCACCTACACAGGGCATATTCTTGCAACATGTTGTATACACCTGGAACACAGGACATATTTATGTAAGACGTTTTATACACCTTGTACACCTGGCATATTCATGTAACAAGTTGCATACACCTTGTACACAGGACATATTCATGCAACAACTTGTATTCAGCTGGTACACAGGGCATATTCATGTAACAAGTTTTATACACCTGGAACAGAGGACATATTCATGTAACAAGTTGTATTCAGCTGGTACACAGGGTATATTCATGTAACAAGTTTTATACACCTGGAACAGAGGACATATTCATGTAACAAGTTGCATAAACCTTGTACACAGGAAATATTCATGTAACAAGTTGCATAAACTTTGTACACAGGACTTATTCATGTAACAAGTTGTATACACCTTGTACACAGGACATATTCATGTAACAAGTTGCATAAACTTTGTACACAGGACATATTCATGTAACAAGTTGTATGCACCTTGTACACCATGCATATTTATGCAACAAGTTGCATACACCTTGTACACAGGACATATTCTTGTAACAAGTTGTATACACCTTGTACACCTGGCATATTCATGCAACAAGTTGCATACACCTTGTACACAGGACATATTCTTGTAACAAGTTGTATACACCTTGTACACCTTGCATATTCATGCAATAAGTTGCAACCTGCAACAGAGGACATATTCATGTAACAAGTTGTATACACCCTGTACACCTGGCATATATAGGTAACCAGTTGCATACACCTTGTACACAGGACATATTCAGGTAACAAGTTGTATGCACCTTGTACACCTGGCATATATATGTTACAAGTTTTATACACCCTGTACACCTGACATATTCATGTAACAAGTTGTATCTACGTGGAACAAAGAACATATTCTTGGAACAATTTGTATACACCTGGAAAAGAAGGCATATGCATGTAACAAGTTGTATTCAGTTGATACACAGGGCTCATTCTTGTAACAAGTTGTATCCACCTGGAACAGAGGACATATTCATGTAACAAGTTGCATACACCTTGTACACAGGACATATTCAAGTTTTATACACCTTGTACACCTGGCATATATATGTAACACGTTGCATACACCTTGTACACCTGTGTAACAAGCTTTACACACCTGGAGCACATATACCAAACTGTATATAACACATTGTACATTACAGGATTAAGATATATCCAACAAAACTATTTGTTATAGAGAAAAACATTACCTCATACGTCTTGTATTGAAATTTCTAGAGCAGTCGCAGGTCTCATGGGGACGATGAGATGACATTGACGTTGACTGGCGACGCCGACGGCTTAGAAGTTCAGGGAAGTGCAGCGTCGGTCCACCCCGCTTTTGCCCGGGAGAGCAAGGCTGAGTACACCCCACGGTGGAGACCCACCCCAAGGAAAGAAGCTGATGACTTTGAAAGGTACTCCTTGTCGATTCCTAAGTTCTGAGCCTCACATATAAAGAATTTGTCAAATCGTGATATCATTTGTCATGCGCATTATATGACGTCGTGGAGATACGGTCAGAGACACTGCAGAGACACTGGCTTAACGTCCAAAGCCAGACATGAACACATGTGTTAAACACTAAGGAAGAATTCACCATCCTATGCATTCCATTGTAAACGGGTGGGCGGGAATGTTAGCGTAGTGACCCCTGGCAGGCCTGTGACGTCAGTTCATTCATCGTCACACTTGGCCAATACAGAATCGGAGCATTCAGAGCTAAAGCTTCTGATATTTCATAAAGAAACAGTCGCGTGACAATCTAGACCCAGTCGCTTCACAATCTAGACCCAGTCGCGTCACAATCTAGACCCAGTCGCGTCACAATCTAGACACAGTCGTGTGACAACCTAGACAAAGTCGCGTCACAATCTAGACCCAGTCGCTTCACAATCTAGACCCAGTCGCGTCACAATCTAGACCCAGTCGCGTCACAATCTAGACCCAGTCACTTCACAACCTAGACAAAGTCGCGTCACAATCTAGACCCAGTCGCTTCACAATCTAGACCCAGTCGCGTGACAATCTAAACCAAGTCGCTTCACAATCTAGACCCAGTCGCCAGTCTAGACCCAGTCGTCAATCTAGACCCAGTCGCGTCACAATCTAGACCCAGTCGCGTCACAATCTAGGACCCAGACCCAGTCACTTCACAATCTAGACCCAGTCGCTTCACAATCTAGACCCAGTCGCTTCACAATCTAGACCCAGTCGCGTCACAATCTAGACCCAGTCGTGTGACAATCCTAGACCCAGTCGCGTCACAACCTAATCTAGACCCAGTCGCGTCTCAATCTAGACCCAGTCGCTTCACCCTAGACCCAGTCGTGTGACAACCTAGACCCAGTCGCGTCACAATCTAGACCCAGTCGCGTCACGATCTAGACCCAGTCGCGTCACAATTTGGACCCAGTCGCGTCACAATCTAGACCCAGTCGCTTCACAATCTAGACCCAGTCGTGTGACAATCTAGACCCAGTCGCGTCACAATCTAGACCCAGTCGCGTCACAATCTAGACCCAGTCGCGTCACAATCTAGACCCAGTCGTGTGACAACCTAGACCCAGTCGCTTCACAATCTAGACCCAGTCGCGTCACAATCTAGACCCAGTCGCGTCACAATCTAGGCCCAGTCACTTCACAATCTAGACCCAGTCGCTTCACAATCTAGACCCAGTCGCTTCACAATCTAGACCCAGTCGCTTCACAATCTAGACCCAGTCGCTTCACAATCTAGACCCAGTCGCGTCACAATCTAGACACAGTCGTGTGACAATCTAGACCCAGTCACTTCACAATCTAGACCCAGTCACTTCACAATCTAGACCCAGTCGCTTCACAATCTAGACCCAGTCGCGTCACAATCTAGACCCAGTCACTTCACAATCTAGACCCAGTCGCGTCACAATCTAGACCCAGTCGCGTCACAATCTAGACCCAGTCGTGTGACAACCTAGACCCAGTCGCGTCACAATCTAGACCCAGTCACTTCACAATCTAGACCCAGTCACTTCACAATCTAGACCCAGTCGCTTCACAATCTAGACCCAGTCGCTTCACAATCTAGACCCAGTCGCTTCACAATCTAGACCCAGTCGCGTCACAATCTAGACCCAGTCGCGTCACAATCTAGACCCAGTCGTGTGACAACCTAGACAAAGTCGCGTCACAATCTAGACCCAGTCGCTTCACAATCTAGACCCAGTCGTGTGACAATCTGGACCCAGTCGCGTCACAATCTCGCGCAGTTTGAGGCTGATCCAGAAAGTTTCAAGCACTGGCGAAATTTGATGTTTACTACTACTACTACTACTACTAATAATAATAATGTGTCCATTTATACACAGCGCCAAACTCCACACCAGGTATGCTCATAGCGGTAACAATCAGTAAGGCATTATTGAAGTCCATTGAACTTTTTGTAGAGAAAGGTGTTGAGGTGACACTTAAAGTTTTCAGGGGTTGGAGACCTACGTCCAGTTAAATTCCACACAATTCCACAAGTATTTGACAACAACAACCAAAGAAACATATCATAAATAAGGGATGAATATAAAAAGTACAAGGCGTGTGGAGCTGAAATGGTTACAATCCACGAGTATGCCTTTGTATTCAATCAGCACCCACCTTCTTTTTCTGGCTCCGTGAGATAGAGAAAGCTCTGTCTGGAACCCATCTCCACTGGAACGTCGTGGCACTTTAGCAAAAGAAAAGTATTTCTACGAAACTGGGATACAATCCCGGCAGCATTGGCAATACAAATCTCTATTAATGCGAAAGGAGAAATATTCTTTGAAAAGCAGAATAACGTATTTGGATCCTGACTTTGTATGTGAGGCTCAGAGTATCAGTCAAACATCGTAAGTTGTACACCCCTCGGGATAGATCGCTCACTTATCTGAGACGACGCAGTGTTGCACCAGAATCGAATCCCAGTTTGATCCCATCTTGTTTCTTGTTTCTATGAGTATGACCATTACTTCGGGTGTCCTGATTCACCGCAATATATACTCTTCAAAAAAAGAAACTTGACATGCTGTTTTGGAATTTACTTACTGAGTGCATATAACTGATTCAAACATGACATCATTGCTCAGTTACAGTAAAATCATCACTTTACACATTTACAAAACATGATTATCCAGAAAATGTTTGGTAAAACCAAAGAGGGCTATTAAAGCCACTTGGTCAGAGTAAAATGTCAGTATCTGGTGTGACCACCATGCGCATCGATAACAGCTTGGCAGCGGTGACCCATAGAAGAAAGGAGATACCGAATGCTGTCTTGAGGAATGTTTTGATACACTTGCTGAAGTGATGTGTGCAGTTCTTATAGTGTCTGATGTGGCGGATTACGCAGGCGCAAGCGTCGATCAAGAGTATCCCATCGATGGGGGACAAATCCGGTGATCGAGAAGGCCAAGGTAACAACAGAACATTGGTTTGCTGGAGGAAGACCTCTCAAAAACGTGCAACGTGAGGTCGAGCATTGCATTGCTTCAAAGATCAACCGTTGACGTTGATGTAGGGAACTGGTCTTCTGACAAAAAATCTGGCTTTCCATGGCCAATTGCGCACTGTCTGGTCGGAGATTCGAAGCAGTCCAGGGATTTGGATTGTTGTGGATGATGCGGCCGTGGTGTTCGAACGAAAATGTCTCAACCGGATGTATTAATCCTGGGCGGCGGTAGAACTCCAGGTCGACCTGACCTGGGTCTGTCATTAACACCCCCAGTATTTTTGTATCGGGTCCATAGGTTTGAGGTGGTCTGTCTGGACACGCTAAAGTGCCTTGCCACATCATGCTGCGATGTCCGTCCTTGTAAACGGCCGATGGCGTTGTGTCGTTGAGCTTCTGTCAGTCTTTTCATTCTCTTGTCGTCTATAGTGGCTTAAAGAAATGCATGTGGAGTACCATTTACGTGGCTCTTTAAAGCCTACAGTCATAGGCTTCAGCTCTGGGTGATACACAATTTCATGATGCTTGTGCATTTCATGTAGTGTGAGTCTTAGCGATTCACTACAGATGTGAGTGTAACGTTACGTTTTTGTTAAACGTTTCTTTTTTCAAACGTTTTGTCGTCGACAACCATTCCCCCATATGCTGGGATTCAGCATGGATTTTTTTTGTGTCATATATTTTCCTAAAATTCAAATTTGTCCTATGTCAAGTTTCTTTTTTTGAAGAGTATATAAATATAACTGGGATACTGTGTCAGGCGGGGTTAAGCCAAACTCAACGATACCCACTCTTGAGTCGTACGGTCTATCATCACTGTTATACAACAAATCTACTGCTACATAGGATCAGTTTCAATGCACAACATTTTGCAGTAGCACCAGCATCATGTACTAGTTTTCAATACAGTCAGTTATGCGTCTGTAGTGTCAAGATCGGTGTACTTGCATACAAATTCCTGTATGAGAAGGATTATGTTCGCAGCCGGACGGGACTTTTCTCGACATTTGTTTCACTTGTCCTACTCATATGTATTGTGGTGGAAGGAAACCTATTCGGCATGTCGAAATGCTTCTGTTCACTGTGGATTCATAGCCGACTTGTAAGAAATCAAAATAAATGAAGTGTTCGACATGGCATGTCAACCCAATAAGCAGGACGTTGCATGTCCAGATTGGCGTCAACCGTTACCGGGCAAACAGTCATCTATTAATACGAACGTGTTAAATCGGTTTTATATACATATATACAGGTGGGCCAGGAAAGAAGTGGTATTGATACCATTATCAAAACCTCAAAGGATTTGCCTGATTTTTCCATTTTCAGAACATATTAATGTCAGTTCCGTCAAAACATTGCCTGTTTTCGAACGACATTGTCCCACTTGAGAAATCTTGAGGACTTCTTTCCCAGATCCACGGAGCGCTTTCAAATAGCAGTAGTCAGAGAGATTTACTTCGTGGATGCCTTTGTACTCACCCGTACGTCTGTGAATACACAATAACGTACACAACATACGTTACACCAGTACGACTGTGAATACACAATAACGTACACAACATACGTTACACCCGTACGTCTGTGAATACACAATAACGTACACAACATACGTTACACCCGTACTTTGGTGAATACACAATACCGTACACAACATAAGTTACACCCGTACGTCTGGGAATACACAATAACGTACACAACATACGTTACACCCGTACTTTGGTGAATACACAATAACGTACACAACATACATTACACCCATACGTCTGTGAATACACAATAACGTACACAACATACGTTACACCCGTACTTTGGTGAATACACAATACCGTACACAACATACGTTCAGGCCTTTCCTCCTTTCGGAACAGTAACATAACAACACATTCTGTTCATTTGAAGGCCCATTGACAAAGAGGGAGATGGTGTCATCGGCAAACACTATAAACAATATGTCGG